AAAGAGATCTGTAGTCATAAAACATCCAATGAATACTGAAATGCAACATCACTTCCCTCCTCATACTGTTTCTCACTAGCAGCAAAAATGCTTTCCATTCACATTACTGTCCAGCAGGAAGGTCCACTCCTTGCTCACGTCACCGGTCAGCACTTCCTGTCATTTACAGATGACAATTGCAGAGACAGAACAGGCCAAAACCTTGTATCCAACCGAACACAGCAAAGACTATGGCCACATACTGGGACATTTCCTTGATAATCAGAGTCCCCTTCTAAGGGGAGATCAAAGTGCCTACAGAGAACAGTCCAAAGGAAGTTAGTGCTGCATCTTTCGCACTTCATTCCTAACACCGTGCAGTTTTTACCCTGAATGCAGAGTCACAACTGAACAACGTACCACACTGAGGAACAGTTTTCCCTTATGCAGCCAGTTAAAACCCTGGCCTCACCGAACGCCACGGTGATGACTGACACAAGGAGCACCTCAGGAGGTAGTAACGCACTTCCTTGGAATCCAGGTCTGCTGAGTGCAGGTGTTGGATCTCTCTCTCCTGAGAAGTGTTTTCTGCTCCTTCCAGAGAGGATCCCTGGCAAGTAGCAAAGATGGTGAAATCCTACCTCCAGCAGCACAACATCCCTCAGCGTGAAGTGGTGGACACTACTGGTCTGAACCAATCTCACCTCTCACAACACCTCAACAAGGGCACTCCCATGAAGACCCAAAAAAGGGCAGCCCTCTACAGCTGGTATGTCCGCAAGCAGCGAGAGGTGGCCCAGCGTAAGTATGGCAGCAACTGTTCTCCTATCTCAATTTCATAAATGCATCTGCTCTCCCTTGCTAATCCTTACTCCCTATTTTTATTACGGAAAAATGGAAGGAAAAGCCCCTTTTAGCAGGAAGCTTAGAGAAGTCTAGGTTAGTATTCAGTGGCGAGGTGAACCGAACGGTACCTGGAAAAGAACTCCCTTGTGAAGCCACCTGCAGTCACCCATCCCACCCTCCATTTGGCTACAGAGAAGCAAACGAATACTCTCTGTTTGCAATTAAAATTCTACACCCATCCTCAGACTAAAGCAATGTAGTGGACAGAGGACAGAATTTCTGCCTGAGAACTACACTTTCGCAATTTCAGCTAAAGCAACAGTTCCTCTAGCTGCAAAAAGCTGTACTTGCTCTGAAAAACCACTGTGGGCTACCTCCTCACCCCCTCTAAGCCCCTTCCTTACAGAGACCCACTGGGAACCCATCCCTGCAGCATGCACTTCTACATTCATGAGTCTGCCTGGAATCTGTCTTACTTAATTTCATATTGGTGGGTTGCAAGTAAAATTCAGACTTTTGGCCTTTGGATGATTTTGGAAAGCAGGACTCAAACCACACTTACTCTAAACTCAGCTGCATTTGCTTTCACTACTCCAAGGCAGGAGCAGAAAGGCAATCCATGTAAGAAAAAGGACAGGTAAATACCGTCCTGCTAGGAATATCTTCTCAGTTTTAGCAGATTATGGAGCTTTATTTCCACCCTGCTTAGATTCAACTCTCCATCTTGTACAAGGTATTCTCCAAGGGTAAACTGCATGGGGCCTGCTAGGCACTTGAACAGACAAAACTATTGCAAATGCTTCCAGAAAGCAAATTCCCTTGCCCCTTTGTGCCTGCAGAATTCACACACGCTGGCCAGGGTATCCTGACAGAGGAGCCCATGGGAGATGACCTGCCCACCAAGAAGGGAAGAAGAAACCGCTTTAAGTGGGGTCCTGCCTCACAGCAGATCCTGTTCCAAGCCTATGAGAGACAGAAAAACCCCAGCAAAGAAGAGAGAGAGGCACTGGTGGAAGAGTGCAACAGGTAAAGACCGGTGTCTGGCTTTGAGGAAGAGGGGCAGAGCAGAGATTCTCTGTCCTCTTGGTGTCTGCTAGAGCCTGTGCAAGGCAGGCTAATAGTACAGCAGTGGATGTCACCACTGACACCAGCCAGGTTTGAAGGAAATGCCACAATCCAGCGTTCACTACCCACAAAGGATCCGTAATGCCCCATGTCTTGCTGTAGCTGGCAGGATCCTTCCACACAGTGTACCAGACCCACGGCCACTTTGGGGGTGTGTGCTGACTGCCTGACCAAGCCCAGCTCAGCAAGGCTCTTCTTGTGCTTTCCCCCAACAGAGCAGAGTGTATTCAGAGAGGCGTTTCCCCATCTCAGGCCCAGGGACTGGGCTCAAACCTGGTGACAGAGGTCAGAGTTTACAACTGGTTTGCCAATCGCAGGAAGGAGGAGGCTTTCCGGCACAAGCTGGCCATGGACACCTTCAGCGGACCGCAGCCCAGCTCTGCTCCTTCTCTAACTCCTCACAACTCTTCCTCCCTCCAGCCACCATCTGCTGCTCTCTCACCCAGCAAAGTTCACGGTAAGAAATAACTAGAGGGAGATCTGAAAGAGACACCAGTAACCTACCCAAATTCAGCCACCAAAACTATCTCCCAAGTCCACCCCTTTAGGAGGTGAATCTACAGACAGAAAAAGCAGACTTGCTACAAGGAAAGAGCACCAGTGAGAGAGGACCATGTCTCTGAGCGAGGAGAGCAGCTAGGATAGCAAGGGTGACAAAGTTCAGTAACAAAACTTTCAGCCAAATTTCCTCACTTACTCTTTGACATCCTGCACTTCCTCACGCCTGGCAGGCAGTAATCTCCTTCCAAGGAGTCATCCACCAGCTCCCATCACCAGCCAGTTCTGTATCCTTCCACTCGTGTGTGCCTTCCACTAACATCAGCACCACCAGACTCAGTTTTCAGGCATCAGGAAAGGTCATTCTCCATCCAACAGGAGCAGAGCTTGTTCAGCTTCACAGGCCAGAGCTGATAATTGCTCTCGCTCCGGGAAGAGATGATCCCTCTGAGACTCTCTCCTCTCTACACCCACATTCAGAGAGGTGGTTTCTAGTGAACCCTGCTTGCTCCCTGCAGCACAACAGCCATACCTTAAAGTCAGTACTTGAGGAAGCAGCTGTGCCAAGTTAAAGGAAAGCCAAGGCAGGGTGGCGAGAACACCTGTGCTTCCGATTCCCCTACTGCCCACCTTGTCTCTGCCTCAAACACCTAAAAGCAAGTGCCTCCACAGGAAACTGAATTTAGCACTTGCCAAAGTTTCTCAGTTTCTCATCTTTGACAACCAATTTCCCTCCTGTTGTGATGCAGGAGTGAGGTACAACCAGCAGCCAGCCAGCGAGGCAGAGTCCTCCAGCAGCAGCCACCATGGGAACAGCTCCATGGTGACCACCCAAACCATCCTGCATCAGGTCTCTCCCCCTGGACTGGAGCCCAGCCAGAACCTACTGAGCACAGACACTAAGCTGGTAAGTGATGTATATTTAAGATCTGGTGACTGGAGGATTTCAGGTCCACTGCCTGTGGTCACAACATGGACTATTCAGAAGTAGTTTTTTCTAGAATACTCTTAAACCCACCTTCTTGTAGAGATATTACGTAGCTGCTTTGCACTAGCCACATAACACAAATAGTCCCGAGGTACATATGCCCTCTAGACTGCTGGTGAGGGTGGGTATTAGAGCATGAAAGCAAGTATAGCGATTTCCTTATGATCCATCAAAACAGTCTCTTCTGAAAAAACACAGCTCAACATATGACATGATTTCCTTCTCCCCAGGAAACCCTGTTCTCTTCTCCTTTCCCAGTGAGATTCTCGTAATCTCCAACTCCTATTTGAACACTACACATCTCAAGATAGTTGATCAAACATCAATGGGATTAACAGAACAGAGACCCGTACCTAAATCTGGTTTACCTGCAAAACTTAAGCCAAACAGCCTGTATGCAGCACATACCTTTGAGACATGTCGTGGATACCTGGATTGTAGCAATCTGCCTTCTTGAAGCAAATTTCCTTTTGAGATTTGACTACACCTTTTCCCACATAATTGTCAACGAAGCCCTGTAACTACATGACTGATCGTTTTCAGTTTGCACGTTCCCTTGCTTACAGGGAAACAGTTGGCAGAAGTCTGCATAAGTGCAAACTGGCCTGAGAGAACATTAAGTTCACTATAAATGAGTATGATTTAAATCTCGTCAGTCAGTCACTTTGCTGGCTTTCTGGTTTCTTCCTGAAAAAAAAAAAAAGCCTTTCATGAAGTCCTGAGAATCTTCTACAGCTGTCTTCTAAAATTGATATCAAGGTGATTTATGCCACTCTTTAACCTGTTCGTGCTTACTCTTACTAAATATTCCTTACAGCTTTTTGTCTGAAGGGATTAAAAAAACCCCATAATATAAACCATTGAACTTTCTCTACCAGGCCAGTCATGAGAATGCTATTTTGCTATTGCACAGCACTTGAACTACAGGTCTCCAAAGGGCTTTGCAAACTCAAAACCCCGTTAGACAAACTCAAAACTTTGCAGACTCAAAAGCCCCTAGACACGTCACATGGTTCATTTTAGAGGCTGAGAAAACAGTCAAGTCAATAATTTCTCAATGACTAAAGGACAGACTGACTCAGCAAGACCCTCAAGCACAGAACAGCCCTGTTTCATCTAACAGGTCCGCTTCCTCTCTAACAGCAGGGCACTGCCAGGTAACGCGGCCTGAAGAACACACTGTATGAGAAAAAGGTTTCTCATAGGAAAAGGTGAACAAGAAAATAACAACTCTTGGATTCTGTGCTGAGCTCTGCAGCTAGAATTACTATGTAAAATTATCTGAGCCTCTTAATTTCTCTGAGCATAGTCTTCTGCCCTCAGTTGTAGAAGAGAAGATAAACTTTCCCTATAGAGAACGCAGTGGGACTAATCTCATTCTTGTTTGTAAAACCCTTACGATTTCTTAAACATGAAACTAAACCAGGAAGGATTTACTCTTAGTATTTCACCAGCTGACCTTTGCTAGTTAATTGATGAGCACGGGGAAACTGCAGACAAGCAAACGTGAAGTCTTTCTAGTTAGCAAGTGGTCAGAGCCAGCAGGAAGAGGGAGAAGGACGTTTATCACAGCTTTGGGACTCGCCATTCTCAATCTGCTGCAGATGGCATTATTACAGTCCTCCTTTCTCACAGGTCTCGGCTCCTGGAGGAACTCTCCCTCCTGTCAGCACCCTGACTGCCCTGCACAGCCTAGAGCAAAATCCACATGCGCTGAGCCAGCAAACTCAGAACCTTATCATGGCATCACTGCCGGGTGTAATGGCAATTGGAGCTGGGGAGACCTCATCCCTAGCACCAGCATTCACCAACACAGGTGCCTCCACCCTGGTGATAGGTGAGTAGTGTTCTGTGTGACTCTGCTTATCAGAATTCAGATGAAGAGCTGCCTGTAAATGTTAGAACTACCTGCCTCGTTTTCAGAGACAAAAGTACTAAGTTGGCCGTGGTATGAACCTGGGGAAATTGTCGCTAAGGATCTTCAGCAGCACTGCTTACAAGTACCAATGGAATTAAGGGACAGATGTTCCTTATTCATGTTAGAATTAAATTACACACAAACCCATGTCGTCTTAAGAGCAAGACACTGTTGCAATCTATTCTGATGCCAATGTTTTCTTTTGCTGCTCTGCATCTTCCCAACTATAAATGTAACTTCCTTAAAGCTACGAAAATTGAAGCATGTTCATAGTGCTTGAAAGACAAAACATCCTGTTCTACTTCCTGCAAAGAGCAGCATATGCCTTTGGAACTCATAGCAGTAATTACTATTTTTCTTATATTTTTCACTTTGACAGCTTTTCTGGACTTGTAAGAGATTTCTTTTCATTCCAAGACTAGTCTACTGCCAAAGTGCATCTCATTAGATAAAGGAAAACAAAATGTGTACTCTCCTCTTACACTTTCTTCCAAGGAAGAAAGAGGCCTTATTTTGTTCCATGGTGTCAGCTGTGAACTAATTTCCATTTCCTCATTTACACCCAAGATTATGATACAGATTCTAATTTTGTGCAAACAAACAAACAAAAATTTTTGAGACTTCCACACAGTGGAAATCTCTCAGTGCTGGAGACACTTGCTGATTTATAGGAGCAGGGTCTGGGCAGTTGTGGGAAAGAGGGTAGTAAAGTGTGAAGCCTTCCACCTCTTTCTCACCAGTCCAAATTCCATAATTTGCCCAAGCAAAATGCGCTTAAACTCTGTTCCATGTGGCTGGATGGCTACAGGATAGTTCTTTACATTGCCAACAGCTTCATAAAAAAAAGAATAAAATGGACTAGACACTGAGATGACACTCTGAGTTTACTTCTGATCAAGGTCTCCCCCATGGAACTCTATTATCAGGTTATCACTAAATTGGAAAGTGATCTATGCTGGTACACAAGGATGTACCACAGAAAGAAATACTGGAAGTCAGAGGTGGTTTTATGGCACCTGTCTGCATTGCACATTTTGGACACTCCTACTTTTTTTATCTGTTCATAATCACAGATAACAAACAGAACACCTGAAAAGCAGGATCCCAAGTCACCCTGCGAGGACAGGCCTGCCACAATGACTGTTTCAGACACCCCTATTGCAGAGCTTCCGTAGTGTGGCACTACTGTCATCAGTCCTTGTTTTTCAGGCCTGGCCTCAACCCAGCCCCAGAGCGTACCTGTAATAAACAGCATGGGGAGCAGCCTCACTACCCTGCAGCCCGTCCAGTTCTCCCAGCAATTGCACCCATCCTACCAGCAGCCCCTCATGCAGCAGGTCCAGAGCCACATCAACCAGAGCCCCTTCATGGCTACCATGGCCCAGATACAGAATTCTCACGGTAAGAATGTGAACTCATCTGCTCAAGCAAACCAAAAAATAAAGGCTCTGTTCTGGAGCATTTGCTGGGTCCTTGGGCCCGCAGTGCTCTATTTTCCTCTTCTATTATTGTTGCTCCGATTATGAAATTATTTTTTATCTCCCTGTCCCTCCACTCCCACCGTTTCAGAGACAGACAGCAGGTCCACATGCACGAGGAGAACTCAGCCAAACTAGTCTCATGCAAAGCTCCAGCATCCACGTGATCTTGTTTTCTTTCATGCACAGCTCTCTACGGCCCCAAGTCGGAAGTGGCCCAATACACACATACAGGCCTCTTACCACAAACCATGGTGATAACAGATACAGCCAATCTCAGCGCCCTGACTAACCTGACACCAACTAAACAGGTAACAGCCTTTAGCACATGCCTTTGTTCCCCCACCTTAGAACTGCACCAGTCTGCAGGCAGCTCCTTGCTTGTCAAAGGATTTTTGGGTGTGTGGTCCATGTCATCCCACCAGGATGATCTTTCTTATCTCCTCACCTTGCTGGTACCAGCTGCAATACTGGAGGCATTAGAGCAAGCTCTTCACTGCATCATCAAGGAGCATTTAATCTCCTTGGAAACAGCACCTTCTCACTCTTCTCTTGTGCCTCTTAGAAGTGATGCAGAAGGCACTGTTAACTTTCTTTTCTCTAGGCATTCACATCTGACTCAGAGACCCATACAGAGTCTGGGATGCACACACCAGTGTCACAGGCACCAACAATACATTTACAGAACCAAGACACAACGGTCCAGCACCTTCAGCCAGGCCCTCGCCTCACCTCAAGCCCTGCTGGTAAGAACAGCAACCACTATGATCGCGGAACACATATTGCCTAGTTTATCTTGCCAACACTATAAAATCCAGCTAGAAAATGGCAACTGGGGCTCATGATTCTGTAAGAGAATGAGTGTCTTGGGGGGTTTGAAAAGCTGGTACAAGGAAAAGATTCAGAGCACAGTCTGTATAAGGTCAGACTGTGGAAATGGGACCCTTCTCCAGAATCTAGGGAGGAAAATAACCTTAAAAATATTGACAGAATCAGTGCCCATGCGTATCCAGTCCTGTGGGCAGTTTTCAAGGCTGAAAAGCCCAAGACTCCCTCATGAAGAGACTCCAGTTGAATCTTCCCAGTTCTAAGAGAAGAACTAGGACACCAACAATCAACTAGAATCAAAACTGAACTCTCTGAAGGTTGGTGCCCTCAATGTTTTCAGGCTAGCTGTGGACTTAAGCTAGGTATATAATGGCACACAAAACAGAAAAAGGAGTTATGCCCCTATGCCAGGAGAGCTCAGTCATGCTGGAAATGTGTATGCACACATGGTAAAGGGTCTGTAGTGAGAATTTGTACTTAACTTCTGCCTTGTGCCTTTGACAGTGTCCTCCAGCAGCCTGGTGCTGTACCAAAGCTCTGACTCGGCCAACAGCCACAGTCAGCTGCTGCCATCCACTCACAACGTCATCGAGACCTTCATCTCCACGCAGATGGCATCCTCCACTCAGTAATCAAGACAACCAGCTCAAGCGTGGCTGCCACGACCAACCTGTCAGGTGCAACTCCAACTGTGCCATCAGTGTCACTGCTGCCTGCCTTGGGAAGGAAAGGCTGTGGTGCTCAGCCAACTTCCAGCTCCTACTGTCTCATACAAATCCCTTACTCAGCTGCCTCCATGAGAGATATCATCTCAGGCTCAAGACAGAAGCCATGGAAAGATGATGCTGGCACTGCTAAAATCCACTGCCCACCCCCAAAAACAAGCAAACCTAAACCCCATGAGCCAGCCTAGAATGACCAAATGTCCTTTTGTGGCTGTCCAAGAAGGAATCCCATCAAGACAGGGATCTGAATGCAATATGGCAAAAATGCCAGGGCATGGATGGGACTTTCATTCTGCTCAGCCTTCATCAAGCTAGGCCTGTACAAAGCTCCACCACCAGACTAAGCCCTGCAGGAAAGAGCAAAGCTGAGCTGCCCAAGAAGGGACACTATCTTTGAAACACTCATGTCCTTTGCTGTAAGGAAGCACCAGCAGGAACTATGAGAAATAACAGTATCTTGGAGGCAAAAGTGAGAGAACCTGATTCCTGACTGCTCTGAAAATCACCAAGAAACAGATTCAGGAATGGCTTGGCACAAACCTGTCAGTATGGGATCACTGACTACAAGCTACAAATCCTTTAATTAACTACAAAAATACCAAACATTCTCAGTTAAAAATGACCCGCTCTAAAATCATGCTATCCTAGTGGAAATGGCTTGGTTATTTTTGATATAGCTCTGCTTTGTTTTAAATGCAGAAATTAAAGTTTAACAGCAGCAAGGAGATTCGAGTTCTCTGCACTAACCATGCGGATTCTCATCTCCTGCATCGTGCTGAACGAGCCAGGGGATGACATTTTCCACAGGTTCCTGACACTGCACAACACCTGGGAGGTTCCCATGCTCCACAAAGAGCAGCGTTTTCTACAGTTGTTCTCTATAAAGATGTCAGCTTAGATTCATTCTACAGAACACAGTTAATTTTTAGCTTCCCTGTAGGCCAGATTGTGTAGTTCTTGATATGCAAATAATTACCCTGGGGTCTAAGAGTCTTACTTGCACTAAGTGGATGTTTTTAGCCCTAAGGATCTACTTATATAATTCCTCTTCTAATTATTCCCCTCTACTCTACTTACTCTCAATCTTCACATCACTGATATGTCACTAGTCAGACATGAAAAAAGCCCTAATTAACATGTTTTTGTCATTGTGACCAAAACAGAGCTGTTCTTTCAACTGTGAAATGGATGAAAATCCTTGAGACTAGAAAGTGCTCAAGGCTCTTAAAAGGTTGAGATATAAGGGAGAATTAAAAAACAAAAAGCCCAACACTAAACTCTTCAATTATCATATCTGGAAATTTCAAAATTGCAGATGTCCATTACAGTTTTTATTGATATGATCTTCCTCTAGATTCTATCAGCCATCAGAGACTCATTTCAGTGACTAGATTCTCTGAGGAATTTTATCCTAGAATTGTTTCCTAATCCCTCATGTGCATCACTTTCAAATACAAATAACTTCCAGTTAGCATAAAAATAATCATCATAAAACAAGTCAAAAGATAATTTTTAGACCACTGTGCATTTGAAACCCTAGGTGCTAGTTTCAGCGCACTGAAGTTTTAACTGGCCACAAGACAAGTAACTTCTGCTGGCACATTTAGTTAGATTACAAGCCAATTTTCTACTTAGCCTTTCCATTTTTGGATGCCAACTGTGTTTTCTTCATTAAAAACCAGTAAGGGTCTTACAGTAAGAAAGAAACCATCTTGGGTTTTCCCATGCTCAAAGAGCAATAGTTCCCTATTTCAGTTTCTCTAATCTGGCTTTCTAGTCTCCTAAATAGGGCAAAGGAGTTAGAGCTACTGAAAATCGACAGTCTTAAAACCAGAAGGTTATTTATCCAATAACAGGTCATTTCCTCAAATACTGGAGCTGAAGTATAAACAGATTAAGAATCACACTGAAAATCTAGTGGAAGTTGTCCCTGCCCATGGCACGGGGGTGGGAACTAAAGCATCTTTAAGGTCCCTTCCAACCCAAACCACTTTATGAAAACTACCAAAACTCACTGTATTTCAGAGAAATGAAAGTGATAATCAGCCAAAATAAGGACTGAAGCTCAGTGACTTTCAAGCTAGGCTTAAGTCCTTCCTGTATCAATCTCGTAGCATTGATCACAAAGCAAGTAAAGAGCCATCTCCAACCATATTTGTCTCTGCTTGGGGAGCCATCTGAATACAGCAAGAAAGCCACTGTTGTACAAACCCTGCCACATTAAATAAGACTAATAGTGTAGTAGAATTTAATAACAACAAATGCCATAAAAAACTATACATGAAAAAAATTTCAAAGGACACAACTTGAACAGAAGTACCTATTTATAACAACCCTGAAATAAGCTCACTGCATGCTCTGTTTATATGCAGGGGCCCTGGAGAGATGCAGATTACAGAGGGATTAGTAACATGGCACGTTTCAACAACAGATTGTTACGATGATAACAAGAAAAAAAATAAGGGGGCCCTGATATCTGACAGGATGCTTTTGATAAATGAGTCTCCCACAGGCTGGAGTTATTCTTAGTAGGCATCCAGGAGGAGGCAAAGAGAAAAAGGAGTTGATCACCTGTTGCCATGTAAACCAAATTAAATTCATCATATACTTTCTCCAGGACACAAGATTTGGCTTCATGATGTGAAGGAACAGACCAGGAGGGATGCAGCTATGATTATATCCCTCTGTCACACAAGCCTGCACACAGTATTTAATCCTTTTACGCTCGGTGTGCATAAGCAGCAGCACAGATAACTGCTGTGCCAGGAGAACAGCGTTCCCTTCCCCAACAGGGATGCCAACAACATAGGAAGTCGCTCAATCAGATTCTCAGGCCACTGAGCTTTTAGAACTGAATTAATTTTCCCTCATCTGCAGCAACTCTTTTTGTTAGGTTTTTTTTCCAGCATCCTTCATCCATCATAATCACCTGCCACTTGCAGAGCAAAATCCTCATTCCCTTTTTTTCTTCTTCTTTTTCTTCTTCACAACTCCTGGCAGCACTGACTTCTCTGTATGATTGCTGTCCTGTCCCTCATGCTGTCCATTTGCAGATACCAACGGCAGCAAATCTTTTCTTATCTGGTCACACTTTGCTGGGTCTATTATTTTCTCTTGAATATTGTTCTCTCCCCTAATTTTCTTTTTCTTCTTTTTTTTCTGGCTGTGCTCAGCATAACCCTGACTCTGATCCCAGCTGGAATCCTGGGACAGTGCAGGAAAAGCACTTTGTTTCAGAATGTCTGTGGCTGATACCGCAGCCTCCTGGTACTTTTGCCACTCTTGATCACTGTCCGTGTCGCTGGAAAGGTAACAAAAGGAAAGGAAGTTATGTTACACTTTTGCCTTGAATTCACCCAAAGCACAAACAGCAGAGTAATCTAAGATAAGAACACCTGATAAACACCCAGTGGCTCTGGGACTCCAATACAAGTTAGTATTTAACCAGTTTGAAGGCTGAGGTGTTCTTCACGTATACTAGGAGGGGAAAGAACATCTCCCACAAACATTTCTAGCTCCCTCACACTAAAAAAAGAAACAAAAAAAAAATCTGCTCTAGTTAAATATAGGAGTCATAAATACACACTTCTCAAGGTCTAAGCTTCCTATTCCCTTGCGAGAGTCCCAGCTGCCTCTGAAGTGTGGGATGCAATAGTGCTTCAGGAGCAAAGCAGCTGACGCCGTCTCACCTGGAGCTAGATGGCTGCCTCCTCCTTGCAGCAGGGCGAGGCTCTGACTTCCCAGAGTCTCCCAGGACAGAGGAAGAGAAGAGGCGAAAACCTAAAATATGCAAAGGGAAATTCTAGTCACAATATAAAACAGAGGTGAAAGCCTTCAACAGCTATCTCCCTGTGAAGCCTCACTGCTGTTCATGTTAATCGACAGCAATTACTTGGGACTAACAATCTGAGAGGAGTTAGGGCACAGAGATCACAACATCCAAGTAACAGCCTTCGCCGATGCTAACAAAGTCTTCTACTGCAAAGGCTTATTAGTCTGTTGGGTGTACAATCAGCTCTGGACAGGATCCACCCCACTTGTCATCCTTTAACTAACAACGTCACAAAACAGCCGCAATGACTGTGACCAGAACTCACCATCATCTCCAGCGTCAGACTGTTGCACAGAAGTTCGCGAAGGTCCTGATGACTCCTTCAAGACGGTGATGAAACTAAACAGAACAGCCCAGTCAGATCTCAGACAGGTTTATGCAAACTGAGCTAAAGTTGGGTATTTCTAGGAAACGAGACTCCAGGGAGATGTTACATAGCTGCTTACTTTTTTTTCTTAGTGAAGCAGACCTCCCTGCTTTCAGAGCAGACCATGTCTTCTCTTCTTAGCAAGGTATGCCACAAGAATGACTTAAAAGCAGCCTTTCTAAAGCCAGCTCCAAAGGAATTCTAGTTCTCAGGGCCATATTTACACAACAAATAAAGACAGCAGCAGCCCAGTTGGAGGCATACTGCCAGCACTACCCTGAATCAGGTATTGGCTTAGTTTTTAAGAATAAATGAAAGATTCTCATGCAGGCCTTTATATGATGAACGTGATAAGGCGCCCAAATTCTCCTTTCCACTCCCCCAGAACACCTTCACCACAGGCAAATGGAGACCAGCAGTGCTGCACAAGGAGTCTTTACTAGAGGGGCACAATATTGGAAGCTTGCATTAAATATAGGAACGATAGAGACAAAAAGAGAAACAACTTCTCCTCCATACCCAAGCTGCACTCAGACCTTGAATGTCCTGCTTTTAGCACGCAATAGCTCTGGCGTACTTTACCCGTAGAACAAAGTTTTTTAGTATTGCATGCCAATACCCGTCTAGCATTGCCCCCAGTTTCTTTGCAACGTGTGCTCTGAACTCCGGTGTCGTCTGTAGCTCATTTCCATCCTCGTTGTGACTGTTCACCTCACGTCTGTTCAAAATAAGAATAATGATTATCTGTTTCAAGGCCAGTAACATCTGGTGCTCTCACCTGATCAAGAGATAAGGGACTATAAAATCTCCCACCCTCTAGCAATCGATTCATACTCGACAGAGAAGACTGCTAAAAAAGATGGAAAATAGCTCAGTAGTAGCTCAGCTCCCAAGAGAGTGCTAAACGTTACTTAGCCACATCCACCACAGCAATTAGATTATTTTTCTCACTGAAACAGCCTACAGAAGCAAATAAGTGACATCAGGACATCCCTTTTCTTGCATGTAATTCCTGTGTGTGTTGTCACACTTCATGCAAAACCTGTCCCATGAGAGAGAGTTTTATTAAGCTGCCTGGCCAACAGCCTTTGAAACTGAGCCTACAGAAATGCTGCCAACTTAGATAGGACAGCATCACCTCCGTTGCAAGGCTCCTAATTCAGGTGTCACTTTCCTGCGGACAAGTGCTTGCCTTTGCAACATTTTTTTGAAGAAAAACATTTTTTTTTTTTTTTTAATATGTAACTGTCCTAATTTCTTCATGGACACTTGCAGAGTTGGGAGATTTCTGACACTTGGAACTAATGCTGTAACTGACAGCAGCACTAAGTTTTCAACTTCTGTGTTCCCCCACTGCTAGACAGAATGAGAAATGTACGTAAAAAAAAAATTAGTTTTTTCAGATCTAAGCATTATTTCATATTACAGTTGGCCTAATTCCTAAAACAGAACAGGCCCTTCCAGTAGGAATTATCACAAGGCACTAACTGCAAGTAGCACAAATACACCACACATTCATTTTCCCTTCAGTGAAGCACAAGCCTGAAACCAGAAGCAAAAATACCTCAGGCTGGGCAGAGCAGGCTGCAGCCGACCCCTTCCAAAGCCACCTGCC